TCCAGGCCTTTCGGAAACCTGGCTGTGCCGGCAGGCCTGGGGTTGATGAGCTCCCCTCCCCTCTCGACCTGTGTGGCTGTGTGATTCTTGGCTATTTTAACTACTGTATTGTACTCTGTGTTCCCTTTCCCCCTTTGAGTTGTTCGCCGCTCTGAGTCCCTCCCGGAAAAGGGCGGCATATAAATAAAACAAATCTCAATCTCAAGACAGCAGTCAAGGCAGCTATCCTGACTGTATCTTTTACTCCTTCCACACACACCCTACCCCAATGCCCTGGCTAAGCATTCATTTTTGGCATTGGCCCAAGGCAACTTAACACAATTTCAGTGGATGTTTTAACAATACGATGACGTGAATATATCATTCTAATGAAGTGTCTGTGTTTGTTTATGTGTGTGTCTTAAAGCAGAGGCAATTTGCAACTGCAATCATATCCATGATTACTTTTCATAACTCATAGTTGATCATAAAATACGGGGTTGTTTGGGCACATCCCTCTCTGAGGGATTTTGAGGGGAAATCAAGAGTTTCAGTGATGCTGATTGAAAAAATTTGCATGGGTGTGTGCATTTGTGTATGAGAGAGCATTATTAGTGAAAGAAGTAATGTTGAGGAAAATTAAAGAAAATGTTAAGAGGCTAATGTTTCAATATGTGCTCTGATGACTTTTAATTCCCTGTAGATGGTTTTCTCCAGTGGAATTTAGAACAGAACAACTCTTGATCTTGTTAGGTGAGCAACTGGTCTTCAAATCCTCAAGTTCAAAGATGTGGAAGGGATCTTGGAGGTCATCTAGTCCAACTCTCTGCACAAGCAGAAGACCCATTACCAGGGGTTGGCAACCTGTGGCTCTGGAGCCACATGTGGCAGTTTCATCCCTCTGCTGCGGCTCCCTGTCACTGGTCAGTTCCACAATTGATAGGGCTTTTGGTTAGGACAGGTAGAGGAAAAAGGATGCCATGCTAGGAGAAGACTCTATGGTGAGGGAACCGGAATTCCGGTCGGCAGAGGAAAAAGGATGCCATGCTAGGAGGAGACTATATGGTGGGGGAACTGAACTTCTGGTCAGCTCCAGAATTGAACAGAGGGCTTCTGGTTAGGACCTTTGTGGCTCTTTGAGTGTTTACAGTTTCTGACCCCTGCCCTATACCATTTCTGGTAAATGGTTGTCCAGTCTTTTTTGAATGCCTCCAATGAAGAAGCACCCATAACTTCTGAAGACAAGGCATTCCACTAATTGATTATTTTCACCATTAGGAAATTTCTCCTTAGTTCCAGGTTGCTTCTCTCCTTGGTTAGTTTCCATCCATTGCTTCCTGCCATGTCTTCTGGTGCTATTTTTTTATTTGTTTACTTGAATCCCATATGCAAGGAAGGTGAAGGGTTGGCATTAGCAGAACCCAACCCCTTTGGGGATGGGCTCTCAAGCTTGGCTGGCTTCTATCCTTTCAGATACTCTGGACGGGTTTAGAAGCCACCTTCAGCATGGAACAGGTCTGTCTGAGGAAGGAAATGAAAAATTAGACGATCATCAACATTCAACCCAGTTGCTCTCTACAACTTTATTATTTATTTATTTACTTACTAGCTGATAACCCAGCATTGCCCGAGTATTTATTTATAGGGGGAAAATGTCCTGACCAAATGAAATGTCTAATGTTGGATTTTCCCCTTACCAGAGGAAGCCTCTTTATGGAGTATTGTAAAGCTGTTATCATGACAACTCCACTGCACTGTACAGTAGAAGCCATTTTATGGCAATACAATAGAAGCCATTTTATGGCAATACAATAGAAGCCATTTTATGGCAATACAGTAGAAGTCATTTTAAGGCACAACAGGCTGTATCTTAACAGAACACATACCCCAAGGGGTATTAGGGTTGTCTTACCCCCACAATATTTGTTTCCAGAGGGTAAGTCATCTGTGTACAAAGTTTGGTTGGTACACACACACACACACACACACACACACACACACACACGTGTATGTATGTATGTATGTATGTATGTATGTATGTATGTATGAATGTGACAAG